TTAAGGCATGGGCACACTGCTCACCTGGAGAAAAGCAGTGCCATCTTAAGGCATGGGCACACTGCTCACCTGGAGAAAAGCAGTGCCATCTTAAGGCATGGGCACACTGCTCACCTGGAGAAAAGCAGTGCCATCTTAAGGCATGGGCACACTGCTCACCTGGAGAAAAGCAGTGCCACCTTAAGGCATGGGCACACTGCTCACCTGGAGAAAAGCAGTGCCACCTTAAGGCATGGGCACACTGCTCACCTGGAGAAAAGCAGTGCCATCTTAAGGCATGGGCACACTGCTCACCTGGAGAAAAGCACTGCCATCTTAAGGCATGGGCACACTGCTCACCTGGAGAAAAGCACTGCCATCTTAAGGCATGGGCACACTGCTCACCTGGAGAAAAGCAGTGCCATCTTAAGGCATGGGCACACTGCGCACCTGCCCAAGGTCTCACGCCTCAAAAAAGGCAGCCTTACAAGACATGGAGACGTGACCTAGGGGCAGGTACACAATGTTTGGGATACATGAGGAGGAAACTGGAAAGGAAAGCACGGGGCCAAGATGAATGGGAAATTCTTGTACCGGTAGGTGGCGCCCAATGCCCCAGACGGGGTAAAAGGCATGCGTAAGTAAGTAAGATGAATCTTGAGCGGTGGAGGAGTCTGGGGAGCCTGCTCCCCCAAAACCGAGGTGCATTTGATTTCAACATTTCTTATAGACTTTTTGATCAGGGTAAGGACATTTTTAAGCGTCTGGAAAGACATTGTGGTGCCAGTGTCATATCAACACTGAATTCACTCCAATTATGGCGTGCCCCAGGATAATCATTTGGCACAAGCTTATACTCAACCCTATACTGTAACATTGATCAGCGTGGGGGAAGGGGTGTAGAAATTGAGGGTGCTGAGGACAGTCGCGCAAATTCAAAATGCAGGGGTGCATTTTGGGGCATACTTGAATTCGGTGTTTCTTTCAGACCATTTTGAGGGGACACTTCCAACTTTCGCGTGGGAAGCGCCAACATTAGCCATAGTAATGATCAAAGACAACCTCAATGCCGCACCAGCGGGATATGAACTAAATTCATTCCAAGTGTGGCACCCTTGAGGGTATGCATTTTCCCTAGCTTAATATCACCTATTAAATCTTTATAGTCCCCATGAAAATCTTTGATAAATTCAAAATAAAGGAATGTATTTTGGGCAAACACTTGAATTTAGTTTCGCAGCATTCTACACTTGGAGAGCAACGGAAGAGATGCTAATTAAAATTGTAGGTGTCACTTAACATTAGAGACATCGTGTGAGCCCAGCAATCCCTACGACTGCAGTGGGCCTCCGATATTTTTAGGGCTTAAAGATGTGAGTGGATAAGTGGATATTTTATTAGTTATCCTCTTTCAAAGCAAGGTGGGGAAGGAC